TCATGATGTTAGTTGGAGTCGTGATTGCCCTTGAATGTCTTTTCAAGAGGAACATTTGAAGTTGGCTGACGAGTGAAGTTTACCGACCTCGCCCTGAGGTCCGAAGACGCGCTTTGGTGTTGATATAGCCAAAGTAACCGCAAAGCAGAACACAAAAACAAATAGCCAAAGTAACGAACGAGTGGCGATACAATAAGCTTCGGTCTACTGTTCTTTTTTTTCCCTCGTCCGACGAAGCTACTCGTTGGCAGCTTTGTACTAGCGACTGTCTTGTCGCTAGAGATAGTCCATGATTCTCATTTCCCAAAAACGACCAAGTCTAGTCGTGTAGAATGCTAACTTGAAAGATCTAGCATGCCGTAGAGACACTGATGCACACCTATCTCGTCCGCATCTCGCCGCTGGATGTTAATACTACCAAAGGGCGATGACTTCTCGTTTGTTCCATCGTCGGTCTCGTAAGATGAGTTTTCTAGTTTTTTTTTCAGGCTTAAGACCTTTTCAGATATAGCGTGTAAGTATATTGATGTTTGAATGTTCTGCCCTGTGTTTGTATGAATGTGTGTATCTATATATATGCATATGCTCACATTTAACACAACCATGCTTACTTTCGTTATCCGAGGTTCACGGGGGAGAATACTTGATGTCGCAACCCTGCGGCATGCTTGCGTGCTTGTCTTCCCCGGATAAGAGGCTCAAATAAACGTGCCTACCTACCCCGTCCTGTCCCGCTGAAAGCAACTACATTCGAAACTTCTCTACTAGCATCGTCTGGATGAGGTCCGAACCTGGAAGACAGGCCTGAATCGATTATTGAGTTCCTCTTCCAGATGCTGGTTGCAGGCTAGAAAAGCCAGTTACTTGGGTTGCATATGGCAATCCTATCTACCAAGGAATCGAGCTTTTCAAGGCTGTACACCCCTCCTCAAATCACGAGGGAGTTTCGACGCAAAGTTCCCTCGAACTCGACAACTTCTTTGCAGCAATGGTACCTTAGGTGTCGTGGAATTCGTTCCAGGTTGTCCCCACCGCCAGCATTTCTTCTCAGGGACGGCAGTTTATAAGGCATCACCATTGGCAGAGTCTTGCAGCGTGGCCAAGTACAGCAAATTGCAACTTGAGTCTGCCAGGCAATTGCAGGTTGTTTCAATTCAGCCTTGCCATGCTTGTTGATTGTAGCTCCCGAAATATTATGCTACATAACGGAATGAAGACCTCACCGGCATCCAGGAATTGAACCTCTTACGACCCTGCTTCATAAAACTGAAGTCCTCACATCATGCGGTACTTGAAATCTAGCTCCCCTCCCTAAAGCAGAGTCGTGAGGTTGACCACCTGTTTAGATTCCAGACGACTCCTTACAATCTATCTAGCTCTCGCATCATCTAGTCGATATGCTGAGCGCCCGCTAGACTGAGGGCAACTCTTGAGACTTCAAGTGAACATGGCATTGATACTCGGCACACCGCAACATCAGCTCTCGTACCCGAACATACCTACTGAACGGGTGCGCCGGATGAGAAGGAACTAAGCATGAGACGTTGACTCAGATCGGCCGATTGACTCCAATGTCCGGACGGTGGATTAGTCCTTGAGCTATGTGGACAATACGCTGCCTAGCACCGTAGTCGAGGCGGTTGTGCCTGCGCGCGCCTGCTTATAAATCTAACCGCCGTCACACGAGGTACAACACTGCAACCAACGCGCGCGGGGGATCAGGGTCATTACGAGAGAACTCCGCGACTCTGTGTCAGATTGGGGCAAGTAGTTGCGGAGATGCGGGCGAGGAGTAAGAATGGCATTAGTTACGCCGCATAGTCGATGTAAGCACCTTGGCCGAATGGGTCCAAGACTTTGGTGGCCCTACCAAAGAAAGATAGCTGACGACAATGTCACTTCTCAACACTTGCAGGTCGGTAGAGCACATCTCGATTGATCGTGGTTTTCGTTCTCGTCTGCAGTCGTGTGACACAGCCACGCTGCAAAAGGCCTGCATTCATCCGAAAACCACAGGTAAGTAGAGAAACACTGTAGTGCCGAGTGCGAGTGGTCTGCCTATCGATCTGAAGCCTCGAGCATCTTCTTACTTGTTTAGGCTTGTCAGTCCAGGACTTTGGCTGGCGGGGGGCCGGCTCCGAGGGGGGTGGAGCTGGTGGTGACTGGCAACCAATTTCTCCCGGCCGTTCTCTTCAGATGTCTTTTTGCAAGCTGCACAATCTCCTGTTTGAGAATTTATAAAATGTTCATGACGATGTGAAAGAAGTCCTGATAGGAACGTTGGAGACTGTAGTTTATGTCAAGACAATTTCAAACTGCCTGGTCGTCCCATCAACACCCTCGAAGTGTATGGCGGTACTCCGTACTGATAGAGTGGTGAGGTGTCGGAGTTGGTGAAATCCATACGCAGGTATTACGCGTATTCGTAGGCGGGCTTGCTGCTTGCTAGGCTCTTCAGGTCGAGAGGCTAAGAAGACTAGAGAACATAGTAGACGAGGGTGGCATGGGCCGTTCTGGGGCTTAAGTCCTTGCCGACTAAGTCCGCCAGTGCCCGGCAAACTCGGTACCGGTTCGGCCAAAGGCCTAACTCCTCCAACATCTGTGCCAAGATGACGGGGAGAAATAGGTTGTCTATCCGAACGGGTTCAGACTAAGGTGGTGTGGAGTCGTTTCTTTTGCTCTTTTTTTTTCTTCTTCAGGAAACAGAAAGCTCTTGACGAGGACGAGGGTTATGGTTCATCAGTTGTTGCCAAGAGTAGCTTAATCCCAGGTCCATGATCCATCAGAAGAACGAACGCAAGAGAAACCTTGCTTCAACTGTGATATGACAACTTCGGATGATCATCGAGACTGGACAGTCTTACGCGGCTTGGCAAGACTCGTCTCAATTTGTGGTTGGTGTAGACCACGCGGCCAGTGAAGAGACTGGCTTCGGATTGCATTCTATGCGATTTTTTCTCGCGTTCCAACTCCAGGGTCGTTTGATGAATCATAGATCCGTCCACTGCAGCGGATGTGTGTGCGCCAACGATCTTTCCACGAGGGTGGTTGGCTTCAGGGATGGGCGCTGGATGCAGGCGGCCGGCAAGCGTTTTGCCTACCCTGGTGCCGGTCTTTTGAGGCCAGCTTGGACCGCTGGCAACACCAGGCTTCTCGAAGGGTTCGTCTTTGGTGCCCAGGATACCTGGCATCAGCGGGTCCAGCTGCGACGGATTCTCTTTCCGCAGCCATCAATCGAGAAGACAGCAAACATGCTGTGTGGAAGGGGCCACAAATTCCTTGGAATAACCTGCACGTTCACCTGCCCTGTCGATTGTCCTGAGTCGTGAGTTGGAAGCTGGCTGTTGGGACGGGGTTCGCCACTCGTCGTTAGCAATTTTCAGATGGTGCAGAGTTGAGCGTTCGTCTGATAGAGGAGCACAACAGGTGCTGATTCTCTGCCGGTCTCCGAATAATACGAAGACTTCCGCAACAGGAAGCATGTCGAACTTGACAAAGCACGTTGAGTATCCAATCGCAGACTGATAAAATCCAGTTGAATAGTGGTCGAAACAGGAGAAGGTTTCGAGGCGTAGCTTCGGAATACCACGCGGCTTTGTCAGCTACCTCGCCAGGTTTGGTTTCGACTTGCCGATGTCACGGCAGAACAGATCGAAACACGCACATGGCGTCGTGGAAGGTCGGATTACCCGAATTAAAGGGCCTAGAACTTTGTAGTGTTGAGAAGCAATACCTGTCTTGAGTTTCTAGGAGAAGAGAGATTGTGGCTGCATCTTCTTACACGTAAACGTGGGTGTAAGCAGTGTTGGGCAAGACCTTTTGTTGGTTAAGCTTAAGACTGAGTCGTCAGCACCGAGCAGCACCTTTTTGCTAGCTCAACTATTTGTCTCTCATCTTGCCGAACCGTTGCCAGTCCGGTCCTGCCCCCAAGAGACAACTGCATCGGCTAGAAAGTGGCCGCTTAAAAACCGAAGGTGCTTCGGGTGTCTGTCCGACAAGTCTTGCCTCCTTACCTGCTTGCCTGCCACTGCCTGCATCGAATGGAAGCAGTCTGTGTGAAGTCACTTGTGCAGTTGCGCTTGCCGGGAATGGTCACCTTCTTGCCTCGTGCTAGTCATATCGTAGCATCCCTGTCTTCTCCTGCCCCATCCTGTCCCGTTTCGTCCTCTGTGCCGTTGCACTTTCTTTCCCACCGGAACCAAAGCCCACCGCAACTCCCAAGTCGCCCCCCCTTTGGTGTTTGTCCCATGTACTGTGTATATCTAGCAGTCGCAACTAAACTGCAGCTTGCTTGTCCTCTGCTGCTACGCCAGTACGAAGTACATGTTGCAGGGACAAATGCCCTTTGTTCTAAGTGGTGCCCGTGGCCACAATGGCCCATCCACCTCCACTATCCGGTTGCTAGAAATCCCCTTCGGAGAGTGAGAGCATCTTGGAAAATCCCGTCTCCCTGGCCCGGACAATCTGATCCATCTGTGTGCCAATCTATCTACCTTACTGCAAGCTGTCCCATTTTGTCCACATCTTTCTGTCGGCCGTACTTTATCATTACACGCACCTTTCTCTTTCTCTCTTTTTGAGAGATGCGTAGCTGACCATTCCTGACTCTTTCTTACTTTTCCACCTGCCAGTCCTTGCCCCTCCGCTCCATTCTTCCCACACGAATCCTGACGAAACGTCTCGCTCCAAGCCCTTCGGACTTCGTCACCACTTCAAACGGATTTCGACAGCTTTCCTTCGCTGTTTGTAAGCGGGTCTCGGGTGCGCCCATCTAGTCCCCCCATAATAAGCTAGCCTGCCCAAGTGACGGACATAAACATCCATCCCCGTCAACGCCACGAGCGCATAGCAAACCGGCTCGGCATCTATATTGTCTCCTTGGCGCTTGGCTTGTAGCTAGATCCACCGTCACCGCCAACATTGAAACGACACTTGAGCTCTACTCCCCGGTTTGAAGATCAACTTCTCTGCTCAGACTCGCTTGAGTCTTTCGCCAGAGAATGGCAGACAAGGACGAGAAAACAAACATCACGGCTCCTGACCCACTAGCCGCTGCTGTTGAGCCCGTCACGCCCCGGGAGCCAGAAAATGCCACATTCGCCATTGATATCGACAAGGCAGATGAGAAGGATGAAAGCTCCGACTTTGACGAGAAGAAGATCAGACCAGAGCTGAAGGCGACCAAGAGCCATGCTACCGATGCCAGCGTCGCCACCACAACTGCAACCCATCGGGTACCAGAAAGTAAACCTTGGTACAAGACGCCAAATCCACTGAAATGGGGCGGCATTCCTCCTGTCCCCGATGAGAAGATCGTGTCCCGGGAGTACAAAGCCGGCTTCTTCAGTCTTTTGACTTTCCAATGGATGGCTCCTCTGATGAGTGTAAGTGAAACTGCGCCGGCCTACTTGAATGAAAGGAAGGCTTGGGCCATTATAAGCCAAGTATAAACCAAGTGGAAAGGAGACTGACTTAAGTTCCAGGCCGGATACAAGCGGCAGCTTGAACCCAACGATATTTGGGCTGTCAACCCAGACAGGGGGACAGATGTCATGACAGACAAGTTGAAAGCTTCTTTCAAAAAACATATTGACAAGGGAAGCAAATACCCATTGTTGTGGGCATTACATGAGACTTACTTCTTCGAGTTTTGGCTTGGCGGTATGCTTCAGCTCGCGTCAACTGTCTTCCAGGTCATGTCACCCTTCACCCTGCGCTACCTCATCCAATTCGCGAACGATGCCTATGCAGCTTCTCAACAGGGCTCACCACCTCCTGCGATTGGCAGGGGAATTGGCCTGGTGATCGGTGTCACCTTCATGCAGATTTTCCAGAGTTTGGGCACGAACCATTTCATCTATCGCGGCATGATGATTGGTGGCCAGTCAAGGGCAGTCCTCATCAGCGTCATCTTCGAAAAGGCCATGTCTCTATCAGGACGTGCCAAAGCTGGTGGTATCAAAGACTCCGCGGCAGACGCCTCGCAAGTCAACGAGAAAGGCAAGAAGAAGGCCAAGAAGGATGCGAAGAAGGGAGACGCCAAAGGTCCTGGCATTTCCGGAGATGGCACGGGATGGGGTAACGGCAGAATTGTCAACCTCATGAGCGTTGATACATATCGCATTGATCAAGCGTCAGCTCTCTTCCACTTGACCTGGACTGCGCCCATCTCCTGCGTTATCACGCTGGTCGTTCTGCTCATCAACTTGAGCTATAGTGCACTTGCCGGATTCGCTCTCTTAGTTGCTGGTATCCCCTTGTTGACAAGAGCCATCAGAAGCTTATTCAAGCGGAGAAAGTCCATCAACAAGGTCACGGATCAGAGAGTCAGCCTGACCCAGGAAATTCTGCAGTCGGTCCGTTTCGTCAAGTACTTTGGGTGGGAGACCGCATTCCTCGACCGTCTCAAGGAAATCCGAAAACGGGAAATCCACGCCATTCAAATCTTGCTGGCAATCCGAAACGCCATCAACGCTGTCAGTCTGTCACTGCCCATCTTCGCCTCTATGCTATCCTTCGTCACCTATGCAAAGACCAACAACGCCTTGAACCCCGCCGAGGTCTTCTCATCATTGGCCTTGTTCAACGGTCTTCGTATTCCGCTCAACTTGCTGCCGCTAGTTCTTGGTCAAGTCGTCGATGCCTGGTCATCATTGAAACGAATCCAAGAGTTCTTGCTGGCCGAGGAACAAGAGGAAGATGTGGTCTTCAAGCCAGAGGGTGAGAATGCATTGGAGATGACGAATGCTAGCTTTACCTGGGAGCGAACTGCAACCCAGGAGTCTGAGAAGCCTGCTGGTGGTGCCCCAAAAAGGGACAAGAAGGTTGCGACCCAAGTGCCTGCACCCGCAAAGAATGTCTCCAAGCCCAACGAGCCACTGGCCTCATCTGGCGACAGCACGGGAGACGGTGCCAGCACGCTTGTCGAGGAGGAACGCGAACCTTTCAAGCTGCAGGACATGAACTTTGAGATCAAGAGGGATGAGCTTGTCGCAGTCATTGGAACAGTCGGAAGCGGCAAAACCTCGCTACTGGCCGCGCTCGCAGGTGACATGAGGAAAACATCTGGCGAAGTTGTGCTTGGCGCTTCCCGAGCCTTTTGCCCACAATATGCATGGATCCAGAATGCTACGGTCCGTGACAACATCCTCTTCGGTAAGGACATGGACCGAGCATGGTATCAAGAAGTCATCAACGCGTAAGTAACATCATGGTAGTTTCCTTGCAATGAGTTGGACTGACCTGGCTCTAGTTGTGCTCTGCGCCCCGATCTTGCCATGCTCCCGAACGGAGATTTGACAGAGATTGGCGAACGAGGAATCACAATTTCGGGAGGACAGAAGCAGCGTCTCAACATTGCTAGGGCCATCTACTTTGACTCCGATATCGTGCTCATGGACGACCCTCTTAGCGCTGTTGACGCTCACGTGGGACGGCACATCTTCGACAATGCCATCCTCGGTCTCTTGAAGGGCAAATGCAGGATCCTAGCAACGCATCAGCTCTGGGTTCTTAACAGATGTGACAGGGTCATTTGGATGGAGGGCGGCAAAATTCAAGCCGTCGACACCTTTGACAACTTGATGAGAGATCATCGTGGCTTCCAGCAACTATTGGAGACAACTGCACAGGAAGAGAAGGAAGACGAGACCGCACCCACTAACCTGGCTGAAGCGCCCCAAGGCGACAATAAGAAGAACAAGAAAGGCGCTGCTCTCATGCAACAAGAGGAGCGCGCTGTGGCAAGTGTTCCCTGGAAGGTGTACGGAGATTTCATCCGCGCCTCTGGTTCCATCCTCAACGCACCCTTTTTGATCTTCCTCCTGATTCTCTCCCAAGGAGCGAACATCATGACCAGTCTTTGGCTGTCCTACTGGACGAGTAAGCGTTACCCACTGTCTGACGGACAGTACATCGGCATATACGCCGGTCTGGGTGCCCTCCAAGCGATACTCATGTTCGTTTTCTCGTTGCTTCTGTCTATCCTCGGCACCAAGTCTAGCAAGGTTATGCTTCGACAGGCAGTGACACGAGTCCTTCGCGCCCCAATGTCCTTTTTCGACACCACACCCCTTGGCCGAATCACCAATCGGTTCTCAAGAGACGTGGATGTGATGGACAACAACTTGACAGACGCCATGAGAATGTACTTCTTCACGCTGGCCATGATCTTGTCCGTCTTTGCCCTCATTATCGCCTTCTTCCATTATTTCGCCATCGCACTCGGACCACTGTTCGTGTTCTTCATCCTCGCTTCCTCTTATTACCGCGCATCAGCACGCGAAGTCAAGCGATTCGAGTCGGTCCTTCGATCCACCGTATTCGCAAAGTTTGGTGAAGGATTGAGTGGCGTTGCCAGCATTCGAGCCTATGGTCTCAAGACTCATTTCATCGCCGACTTGAGAAAGTCCATTGACGAGATGAATGCTGCGTACTACCTCACATTCTCGAACCAGCGCTGGTTATCGACTCGCCTCGATTTGATCGGTAATCTTCTTGTCTTCACCGTTGGTATCCTCGTCGTGACCTCACGATTCAGCGTGCCCCCAAGCATTGGAGGCCTGGTACTCAGCTACATTCTCGGTATCGTGCAGATGATCCAATTCACCGTCCGTCAACTCGCGGAAGTTGAGAACGGTATGAACGCCGTGGAGCGAATCCAATACTACGGCACTCAGCTGGAGGAAGAGGCGCCTTTACATACTATTGAAGTCCGGCCTGAGTGGCCTGAGAAGGGCGAAATCGTCTTTGATAACGTGGAGATGCGCTACCGTGCCAACTTGCCCCTTGTGCTTTCTGGTCTATCGATGCACGTGCAAGGAGGCGAGCGTATTGGCATTGTCGGTAGAACGGGTGCGGGCAAGTCGTCCATCATGTCTACTCTTTTCCGTCTCGTCGAGCTGTCGGGTGGGCACATTACCATTGATGGTGTCGACATCTCCACCATTGGTCTGCATGACCTGCGATCCCGCCTAGCGATCATTCCACAAGACCCAACGCTTTTTAGGGGCACAGTCCGCTCCAACCTGGACCCGTTTAGCGAGCATACGGATCTGGAGCTATGGTCCGCCTTGCGACAGGCTGATCTCGTCCCAGCAGACGCGAACCTAGAGGATCCAAGGTCTAAGGAGTCGTCTAGCATTCACCTTGATTCCGTCGTCGAAGAGGATGGCCTCAACTTCTCTCTGGGACAGCGCCAGCTCATGGCCCTGGCACGCGCTCTCGTCCGTGGCAGCCGCATCATTGTCTGCGACGAGGCGACGTCCTCCGTCGATATGGAAACGGACGACAAGATCCAGAACACCATCGCCACGAGCTTCAGGGGCAGGACGCTATTGTGCATTGCCCATCGTCTGCGCACCATTATCGGCTACGACCGTATCTGCGTCATGGATGCCGGCCGAATCGCGGAGCTGGACACGCCTCTTGCGCTGTGGCAGCGGGAGGGCGGCATCTTCAGGAGTATGTGTGACCGCAGTGGCATCAGACTGGAGGATATCCGCGGCGCGAGCGAGGGTGCTGCTCCCCTGGAGATCCAGGCTGGCGGATCGAGTTAGTCGAAAACATAATGAAGTGGTGTCATCAGTGAATGTTAAGGACTAAATAAAATGGAACGCACTTAGGAAGAACAAGTTGGGCCTCAAGAAAAAGAGGGCAAGCGAACCGTAGGAAAGATGGCGGTTGGGACAAGTGAGATTCATACCCCACCCTCCATATACCATAAGCATTGAGCATGTCATGCTGTGAACAGAGGGCGTGTAATACAAAATAGAGAAAATGAAATAAAAAACCGATGAGGAAAACAAGAATCCCACACCAACGTTCCGCAACTGCATACTTGCAAGTGACGTGAAGCTCTCATCGTACCTGTACCCCCGTGGCTCCAATCGTCGCTACTACCACCGCCGCCGCTGCTACCGCTGTGACCTTGTCGTCCCAATGTCTCGGACAGCAGGGCGCCCAAAGGGTTGCGAGACCGAAGCGAAGAAGTCTCTCTACCACGATTCCACAGCGTTCGTCTTGCCCCCGGATCTAGATCGTACGGAGGGAAGGGGTGGGGACGAAGTGTGATACATGGCACCGGAAAGGTGTGACGAGATCCGGTGGGTTCACGACGGGTAGATGCACCTGGTACTCCGTACGCCGGTCGCGGTTTGCAGACGAATTCAAGCGAGGATTTGAAAAAAAAAAAGGAAAAAAAAAAGAAGAGGTAAGAGATTCTGAGAAGAGGGGGCGAGAGATGGAAGCGTGTCGTGATGGAGGTGGTGACCGTTGAGGGTCGAGGGATACCGTGTAGGTCTTATCTGCAACAATTCGGTATCCAAAAGAGCTACATCACAGCACCAAGCGAAGTTTTCGGTTGATGGGGGACGTACGAGCAAGACATCCGGTTTATCTGGTGTTCCTTCGAGACAAGTGAAGACGGAAAGATGATTAGGATGTAACCACCTCCCCCCTAAATCACGAGCATTTCTAAACAGAAAACCCAAGGTGATGAAGATGCTACATGCGACGTTGCTCTCGGTCCGCTCGGTCCCCCCCCAAAGATAGCTCCATATCCGAGAAGAAAAGAGGCTCATGTTTCTTTTTGTCCACGGAAAGCTTCCACCCTTGCCCAACGTTGTGTCAAAAAAGTTTAAATAGATTGGGATGATTGCCGAAAAAGTCAAATGGGCTGACGACATGGGACCAGCTGATCTCTCTATCGCTATCCGTATACACTTCAGACGTACATAAGGTTTCCCATGCTGAAGAGATCAGAATTGTCAGCGGTTGTCGTGACGACGTGTAGAAAGACTACATGCAGCTTGACAATTGGTAAACATGTCGGTTTACACAATCACATGATATTGTCCCAAGATATGACTCAAGTTTTTTCTGCTCATTGAAAGAATATGTACCAGCGAGCGATGAGAAGCGAAGACAGAATGCCACCGGCGGATCGTCATCACCAAGACTCCCAGTCTAATGCTCCTTTGCAACTGCGTGGTGAACAGGGAGGGCAAGATACATCTAGACATCCACCCATGCACGGCAGCCCTGTGAGAAGACCTAGCTATGCCTTTAGACCGCGCTCCATCTCAAACTTGCTGAAATAGCGGTACTGAGAAAAGCAACCGATCTCACTGGATGATGATTAAAAGCAGTATTCCAAACCGGTGATGCAACGTGATGATACCCCTAAACGCCATGAATGTGCCATTCAAAAAACCCCAAGCTGTGACGTCTCGCCATTTTTTCATGACGTAATGAAACTGTTTTTAATGCAAAGATGCAGTGAAACCAAAAAGGAGAAAAAAATCATCCTTAAAATCGACCACCGGGAGAATTGTTGGCATTTCGAGATCCGGGGCGCATCTGGCTTGGTGGGAAGGCGTTGGGGTTCTCATCCAACAGGTCCTCGAGGTAAGCACTGGGAGCTCTTTGTCCGTTACCAGGCGCCGCAGACAAGTTAACAGAGCTTGTGCTGAAGTCACGTCTTGCGCCATACGAAGGGGACTCCGGAGGTGTAGATTCCCTCAAATTATTGCGGCTTCCATACTGGCCTCGTGATTCGGGGCGGAGGTTCGTCAAACTTATTGAGTGACCATGAGCAGGACTGGGAGACGAGGTGGCAGCGGCGTAAAATCCAGAGGGCAGGAAACGAGAGTCGCGGTTGGTGGCAGAATTGTTATTGTTGTTGGTGTTGCTATTGCCGCCACCAGCTGCAGTAGGCGAGAAGAAGAGATTCGACTGGCTTGGCGTCGCAGAGGGAATGGGGCCGCGCTGCGTTCTACGCACACCACGTCCACCATTGGGAACAAGAGAAGGAGTCGATTCGCGATCGGTGTATTTGTAGAACTGCGCTGGAGGGGCAGGGAAGCTCTGCTTGTCGTTGGCGACATACTGGGCGTTGGCGGCGCGGGCGACGGAGCGGTGCAGCAAGCAAGCGATGATGCCGCGCCAGATCAGAATACCGAGGCCAAAGGCGCCGAGGATGGAGCCCACAGCAATGAAGACGGTTCCTTGAGGGGCACTCGAGCGGTGCATATAAGGAGCGTTATTGGTGGGAGGAACACTCGCTGGTGGATATGTCGTCACAATGGGTTGGTTGGTGAGGGATGGGAGACCCGTGAGGACATCACCAGTGGTATCGGAGGTGCCAGTGATCCTTGGGGCGGTGATACTCTCTTCTGTTGTGGCAACGGCACCGGTGTTGGAGATAACGGCGGTTGCCGCGGTGGTGCGCGAAGGCTGCGCGGCCGAGGTGGTGGCATCGTTGGTAGAAGCTGCCTGCGAAGCACTGGTCTGAGCATCACCTCCGCTGGTATTGTCTTGCGCAAGACCCGTGGCAGAGAAGAGAGACAAGGCGACAAAGGTAGACAGGAGAAGCGTGCGCTTCAGCGAATGGCGTGACGAAACCATGGTCGGTCGAATTTGAAGTCCAATTCCGACCAGGGGGTCGGTGTTTACGGTGGGATGCGATGCTCCGAAATCGAGATGATGAAGGCGTCAGTCACTTTTTCCCAGACACTAGATATTGTTCTGTTGTCGGATCGAGGAAAGAAGGTCGATTATGGCGGTTGGATCGGTGCCCGTGGGCAGAAAATGGAGATGGTCGTCGTTGTGGTGTCCTGCCGGATGGGGCGGTCGCTTCGTTCAGCTGGGTCAGGCTGGATGCGATGAAGTCCGGAGAATCGAACGAAGGTATCGCGGGAGTTGCGGATGCAGACTGGAACAAGCAAAGCAATATGAAAGAAGAAAAGGTCCCGCTGGCTAGAACATTGCTGGTGCCGACTGATCGTTTGCTGGGTGGGCGGCTTCCGAGATTCGACGTGAGGCAGTCAGTCAGGGAGAGAGGGTTGGAGGGAGCAGGAGAGGGACGGGAGGGATGAGGGTGCGTGATGGGGAAGAGAAAGGGAATGGAAGGCAAAGGCGGGCCCCTGGTCAGCAGGGAACACCGGGCCTGGGGAATAAAGGAGGAAGGGTCCTTCCCTGCTCTGGAGGAACCTGCTGAGAGCGCCAGTCAGCGAGTGGTGGACAGGCACGCCGCGCACATAGGCGAGAGGCTACAGCCTACAGCATCCATTTCGTGTTAGCGGACTGGGCGGTCCCCGTCCCTGCCCTGGGCTGTGGCGCGGTACATTTGGCTGCACCTGAAGGTTCTGACGTGCTGCTGTGTCGGGGTCTGTTTATTTTTGTGCATTTGGGCCGCATTTCCTGGGAATGCGAGAGGGAGAGAGAGACATGCAGACACAGTGCTGCCAGCTTATGCAAGCCAGGTTTTTGAGCTGCAGGAGACGCGCAAATCCGGGGAAACAGCCACAGTGTGCAGTCCAAGTACACTATGCCAGATGACTGTACAAAAGTCACCCTCCATTTTCGACTTCTTTCGTGCTTTTCGAATGCCCACCCGCGCTCGTATTGAGGATTGAGGTGTCCAACAGGCGAGCGTTGATCCCACTAATCATCAAATCCAGTCTCCCAGCATGCGCTACAGTGGCTGCAGGTCGCAACCACCATCAACACGAGCCATCCATCTGGGGTAAGCGTACCTGGCAGATAGATGCCCACCCATTTACGCAGTCCTAAGGACCAAAGATCTTCGAACTCATTGGAAAAATTATGGGCCATGAAGCAATGGTGAGCCTCGCTGTGGAATGCAAATGATGCCCCATTTCTCTCCACCAGAGTCCCAGTGGTCCCCTATCTTTGTTGCTTCGCTTCTTCGGCTTCGCCTTCGTCAGACCTCCAGTATACTAGTTTGCAATTCATGCCGGATGCTTCAGACTAAGGCAAGGCCATGAATGGGCGCGGCGGGTATCAGACCCTTCTCTGATCATAATGGGCTCCTATTATGCACGCGCAGGGCAGTGCACAGAAGTGCTGATGCAAGGCACCACAACAGCACCAGTCCAGACTCCAGACTCCAGCGCAACGCCCACCTTGCCTCCGGCGTTTGGGCGCCGTTGATCGATCGTTTGCTTTTCCTGGGAGAGGAAATTGCAACGCCCGACAGCGGACAGAGGAAGACTGTGGAGGAGAAGACCCCTTGCCATTCGTCCAGTCTCTGAGAGTTTCATTGTCCCCTCATTCCGGTTGCTCTGGGTCACCCTCCACTTCCAGGACCCACCTTGCTTGCAAGCGCTGCGTGGCCTGGGCCCATCTCCTCACCGAGCGCACAGACTAGAGGCACCTTCACCGAGCAGCTGAGTATCATACACCGAGAGCACCGTCCGTTCTACACCGAAAACTTTTTTTTCTCAGCTCTCGGCCCCGCCGCATGCGCTGGACGGCCAAACTCAGGAAAACGTCAACGCAACAGCCTTGTTCAGCCTCGCCGACGCCAGCACTCCTCCACTCGACGACGACGACGACGACAACCTATACCCGATTCCCCATACGAGACCGAAAACATGGGTGTTCAGAAGAAGACCAGAAAGTTTGGCGAGGTACGTTTGCCCGTCCTCGCTTTGCGCCGAACTCCCGCGCATCGCGAAGAAAATATCAGAATCCTTATCGATAAGAACTTTTTGGTCCCCCGAATAAAAGTTCACGATGGTCGCGATATCTGAAAGCGGACGTTGGAAGCCCGAGGCCGCCTGGACATCGATACTTGCGAATAAGTTTGCTGACTATGTATGTTCCTGCTAGGTCAAGAGAGTCATCGGCAAGAACGACGCCCGGCGCAAGGAGAACCTGAAGAAGGCGGAAGAGGCCGAGCAAAAGGCCAAGCGTGAAAGAGGTGGCCCAGATGGCGAGACTATTGTCAGGGAGATTCCGCAGGTTCCCTCGCAGATGTTCTTCGAGAGCAACTCAAGTCTCGTGCCTCCCTATGGCGTCCTCGTCGATACCTCATGTAAGGCCCCGTTGCCCATCCCACTCGGTGCTCAGTTGCTAACCATGTTCCAGTCTTCTCCCGGTATAATAAGCCCGCCCGAACGCATACTCCTCGCCCTCGTTAACTAACCTGCATCTAGAACCGTTCAGATGAAGTTGCCAGTGATAGAAACCATGATGGATTGTCTCTATGGTAGGATCCGGTACTGCAAGAATGTTATTTGCACCAGCTGATGTCCGAACTAGCTACTTGCCACCCTATCGTCACTGACTGTGTCATGGCCGAGTTGGAAAAGCTTGGCCCCAAGTTCCGCCTTGCTCTCAGAGTAGCACGCGACCCTCGTTTTGAACGACACAAGTGCACACATAAAGGAGTAAGGCCCGCTGCGAGTACTGTCGCGATTACCAGTTGCTAACAACGTTTCTCCTCAGGTGTACGCCGATGACTGCCTCGTAAGGCCCCAAACCGCTTACATCTTCGATTGACTGAGCCAAAATACTGATTAACTCTTCATAGGTGTCCAAGGTGTCTAAAGACCGAGTGTACCTCGTCGCGACCAACGATAAGGGCCTCGTGTCCAGAGTATGTCCAGCCTTGTCCCGTAAGACCACGACGACGCTAACACCAATCTTTTTAGCTTCGTCGCATTCCCGGTGTTCCAATCATGAAGTGTGGACGTGGAAAGTACACCATCGAGAGATTGCCCGACGCCCCGATTTAAGCTTGAACCAACAATGTAGGAGGCAATTCGCGGTCATTCCGTCAGCGCGAGGGAGAACGGCAAGTCCTTTGAACGGCACAACGATACGATCGTCAAGTTGGAAGATAGACTCGAATGTTGTGGCAGGCTGGTTTCTTGACGTGGAAAAGCGACATAAAAGTCGTGGGGATGAAAAAGACATGCGCATCGAGCCCAGGTCCACCAAGCCCTGGAAAGGGAGCACGGCGAGGGAGAAGCAAAAGCATATCTGGGTTCTGGTTTGTTGGCATTTTTCTCAAAAAGGGTTGGGTCGTGATGCAATTCGACCCAACCATTGTGTATCGTGGTTTTGGCACTTGTAATACTGGTATGGAACTTTGGTGGTCGTCCAAAGTAGTCGGGGTTAACCACGCCATATCCCCGATACTGGCCGACGGATGGCTCCGTCAGCTCATAGTTGCCTAGATGGTTTAGGCTGCTTTTAGGAATCAAAAGAATAACCCAAACATGACTTGCATGCATCCTCCTGCATTCCAGAACGGAGTCCCTTCCAGACGCACGCAATTACATGCTGTTACAGGGTGACACACGCCGTCACCCGTAATCAAAGAAGAGACAAAATTCAGCTCCGTGATTGACGTCAAATAGAGTTTAGACCTCCGGATCTGAGTACGGACGGCACCACGGCGCAAACCCCCCTTTTCCAAAGGCCCCACCCCGTCTTTCCCCTCACACCCACTCACAGACGGCATCGGACACGGTGTACCGTCTCTAATCCTCCGCTCCCCTATAATCACCTAGAGCGTCCGTAAGCTCCAATGAATTCGGACCAAGTAACCCCGCCTGCCGGACCGGATACCGGCGGCAGCAACCCCTCCTCCAACTCCAACTCCTCTGCCCCCGGCCCCGGGCCCTCATCCATCAACCACCAAGCATCGGCTTCGGCATCGGCGTCAGCCTCTGCAGCCGCAGCCGCAAAACGATCCCGCGTCCTCCTCTCCTGCGGCCCCTGCCGCACATCCAAGCTGAAATGTGACCGCTCCGAACCGTGCGGCCAGTGCCTGAAGAAATCCCGCCCGGAAGGCTGCGTCTACGCGCCCAAGCCCGAGAAGCAGAAGCCCGCCAAGGGCATGGCGGCGCGGCTCAAGAGGCTCGAGGGCATGGTGAGGACGATGATGGATGAAGGAGCCAACGGCGCGGGACCACAGACTGCTGGTACTGATGCAGCTGCTGCCAACGCCGTGGAGGAGAAGGGTGTCGCGCAGCCTGGGGGTCAGCTTGTTCAGGGGGACAGGGCGAGTACGTACGTCGGGGCTACGCATTTCATGGCCATTCTCGAGGATGTAAGTTTGTTCTTTTCTTTCTTCCCTGAGAGCCCCTCTCACCGGCTATGTTGTGTGTTGTTTTCAAGACGTGAAGCAATTATGAGAGGGATGAGATGTTAACAGAGAGGGATTGCCAGATTGAAGATATGAAGAGCTACTTTGAGGAGCCAGAGGCCGACTGCGACGAGAGCCCTGAGCCATCCGACGAGATCGAGGCCCCAGATCTCATGCTCTTTTCTAGAAACATGCCTCGCAGCAGAGAAGAATTGTTGAAGCTACTTCCCGAGCGCAAGATTGTCGACAGACTCATCATGAGGTACTTTTCCTCTCGCAGTCCATCACAACGTAATTACACCACTCTCCCTCATTCTCGCAATCGTTCGTCCATTACTTTGACGTGTATATTGACTACGTTGCAGACATCGTCCACAGACCAACCTTTGTAAAACATGTAAGTCCTCGCCCTCTTCCTCCTCCCCTCTACCCCTTTTTACCAAACAATCTCACCAACAAACGAACTCCATCTCAGTACGCCCGCTTCTGGTCCGACCCGTCCGGCACCGACCTCCACTGGCTAGCCCTCCTCTTCATGGTCATGTCCCTCGGCGTCTTCTACTCGACCTTCATGGCGCCCCACGAGCTCTCGGGCGACTCTCCGCAGCCGCCCATGGACCGCTTCAAGCTCTTCCGTGCCGCCGCCGCCTACTGCCTCGTCTGGGGCAAGTACACCCACCCCACCATCGCCACCATCCCGCCCTTCATCCTCTACGTCGAGGCCGAGTTCATCATCTCCCGCGCCGCCCAGATGAACTGCTACGTCCTCTCCTCCGTCTGCCTCCGCCTCCTCCTCAAAATGGGCCTCCACCGCGATCCGGACCGCCTCCTCGCCGGCACCGTCTCCCCTTACGAGGCGGAGATGCGCCGCCGCATGTGGAACATGGCCGTCCAGCTCGACCTCCTCGTCTCCTTCCACATGGGCCTCCCCAGCATGCTCAACGGCATCGACGCAGACTGCGCCCTCCCGCGCAACCTCGTCGACGAGGACTTTGACGAAGACACCCCCGTCCTCCCGCCCGCGCGTCCCGTGACGGACTACACGGAGATGACGTATCCCATCAACAAGTCCACCATAATGCTCGTCTTCGGCCAGGTCGCGCGGCAGTCCCACCTCCTCGCCCCGCCGCCCTACGCCGAGGTAATGCGCCTCGACGACCTCCTCAACACCTCGTGGCGCGCCGTGCCGCCGTTCATGATGGTCAAACCCCTCCAAGAGTGCGTCACCACCCCGCCCATGCAAATCATCCAGCGCTTCGGCCTCGCCTCGCTCTACAACAAGAGCCGCTGCGTCCTCCACCGCCGGTTCCTCCTCGAGCCCCGGCCGCGGCGCGAGCACGACTACTCGCGCCAGCAGTGCCTCGAGGGCGCCGTAACCCTCCTCGACTTCCAAAACACGATTTGGCACGCCTGTCAGCCGGGCAACATGCTCAGCCAGCACGGCTGGTTCGTCTCCTCGCTCGCCGTGCACGATTTCCTCCTCGCCGCCACCATCATATACCTCGCCGTCGGCCACGAACCGTTCTGGGGCGGTGACGCCGACATGGACGTGGACGGGACCACCGCCGCGGCGACATCTGCTTCGCCCGCGTGGATGGCGGAGATGGAATCCCCACCTACGAGGGCGTACCTCCTGCACCTGCTGCAGAGGTCATACTCCGTCTGGGTCGCCATCGCGGGCGGCGTGCCCGAGGTGAAGAAGACGGCGGATATCCTGGAGACGATGCTCAGCAAGCTGGGGTCGCCGCCGAATTCTCCGCCAGAGAACAGGGGCGCAAAGGTATCGTCGGCGTCGGGACTTCGCCAGAGTGACGGGCCGGCATCAGCGGCTCGTTCTGCTCAAGACGACCAACAGCTCCTCAACGGCCTTTCGATCAATGGTACGGCTGCGAAGATAACCCCCCCTGGTGATAAACCTACTAACTATCTAGCAGATTCCACATCGTTGCCTACAGCCACGGCGAACCGTTTCCAGCCCTTTGAGTTTGTCACTTCAGGCCTCGGACCTAGTGAACCTGGGCTCGATCGTGGATGGGCGGCTGTTGGCGACGAAGAAATGGACTGGGTATGTTTACGCACTCGCCAAGTAAAACCGTACGTCTGACTAATGTCTGCAGCGATACTTTGACAATATCATGGCCCAGCCTCACAACGACCCCATCGGTCTCGAGTCACTGGACGCGTCCCAGCCGTGGTTCGAACGGGCACTGGGACCAGAGGATTTCGACTTCTCTATGTCTAGTGCATGGGATCCGAGCTTGGGACAGTCACGTTGAAGTCATGGCTTACCGCCTTCAAAAGCTGTTTGCCACAATAAGCTTCTAAGCCTACATATCAAAGTTCCATTGCTCAGAAACCGCTGTCAGGGCGGCTTGGCAGCTGAACGAAGCTGATCTGGGGCACACAAGCATCGCCCTCGAGCTTGGCCGCCCCAGAAGGGGTACATGGGGCTGCGGCTCCGCGAGCTCCTCCAAAAGAAGCATCTCCTCCTCTTGGGTACAAGCCCCTCCAGCCCCCCCGACCCAGTGCAGCAACTGGCTCGCTTAGGGGCTAACTGGACCTGATGAAGTTTTCTCTCCCCAACACGCGATATCGGTGCCCACAACCAAGATGGGCCCGTGGGGGATAGCTACCCATTGCCCTGATGGAGATGGCTAGCTGGCAGGGATGTCAAAAAAGGTCGGCTCAGGTGACTTGAAAATAGACGCGAGGTCGGCGTTGGACAGCAATTCACAATAGACCCCGGATTTTCCTTCTCCTTCGGGTCCGCGCCAATATCTAGCATTTGGCTGGACCGATGGTGTGCGATGAGCGGCCGTCCTCCGGGGGATTGGACCCTGCAAGCTCGATGAGGGGTTCTCTCGGCGCTCGATACACGGTGAATACTATAACGTAAAATTGGTGGGCCGGTGGAAGTGGCCGGCGGCGACGTGCGTTTAGAATCCCAACAATGTCGTCTTCAACAACGGCGAGAACCATCTTTGGCGTGTTTTCGTCCTACATATATACGTCTCGTCGGCAGCGTCCTCATAGACTCTTCGTCAAAGGGCGCGACGTTGCCGACGAGAGAGCTGGCCTGCAACGATGCCCTACAAGGCATGGGCCAACTTCCCCGCAAAACCCGCAGATTGACGGCAACGAAGCGGGGGCTGTTTGCATTAGCAGCAGCATCTGGAGCAGCTGGGACCCAGTGGCGCTTGTCCCTTGAGCTGAGCTCGCTCCCAAGAAGGCTGGTTCTTTCTCTTGGCTCTTTTGTGGTGGGTTACGCAATAAAGCCGAGTTTCTTTGGGGACGGCCAGACCGCGACGCAACAACAAGCTTCTTGGGTGCACATTTGGAGATTTGCAGGCTCCTCCGCGGAGATGCCTACTTCGGAGAGGGAGGGGAAACGTTGGCTTATGAGCAGTATGGAACGCCAGTTGGTTCGCTTGATGACGGCATGGCGGTCGTCTGGGACGTTTGCTTGGCTCCATTTGTACGTAATGAGGAAAATGCGGTGCTAGCAAGGTCGGCATTGCGCGATTCCTGGGTCGTCATTGGCGCATTCTTGCTCGTGCTTGACCTGTCGTCTCAGCTCTTTGTCAATCAGATTACGGATATTGGCGCCTCCCGAGTCCCGACAGCTAGGTCGAGGTTGACTGTTCTTTTTGTCGTCCAGCGGCCCATTGTCTCGCCATCTCCAGTGGCTCGTTACCGGACCGCTTTCAGAAGGGAATTGAGCATCGTCCCAAGGCACTGGAACCGATCATTGATGACGGAGGTCCTAGTAGACAACGGTCACAAATGCTGCACGTCTAGACTTTCAGCAGAAGCAGGTTCCGCCTCAAAGTCCGCGTTAGCCTTCAGGGATGCCCCGCCGGGTTGCGTTTGAATCCTGCGGCTTGGCCTAGGCCATTCTTCGGGGTTTGAGGGTGTCTGCTCACATGGAATGTTATTAGTCGGAACGTCATCGGAACCGGAATTCTGTGGAAAATTGAATGTGTGCACACGGGTGAAGGCGCCTTTACCTTGATCCTTTCCCTCTACGCCCATCGTAGAACATGGCGCAGTATACGACAGCATAATTGGCTGATAACAACGACGCTCTCATGACCAATGGCATTACCCGCGTGAGGCTCGAACAAAAAAAATCGATTAGACGTTGGGTGCGCCTCCGCGAAGGTGGTTACTCGACGCTTCTGCAGCCGACGTGCATGAAGGGCCCTCAAAGACAAAATAGGCGGCGTTGTGGTGCGGTGCTAGGTCGAACCTGGGTGATGCAGCAAGCGCTGTAACCGGTGGGAGCGTGGCACGGATAGCTCAGCGAGGAGGCTAATCTCAGACCTGCAGAGAGTGAGGCTAGAGCCTAGATGCTAGTGTCTGCATGTGCTGTGGGTGGGAGATTCTGGATGTTGTCTGGTTGTGTGCAGCGAATTTGCCCATCATGGCGTAGAATTGCGATATTCGATGATTCTTCTGCCTGGGAGCTAGTAGTGGGACCCAGCCATCCGGGCCGGGGGGCCATGCTGTACGTACAGTGAGGGGGAGGTACCGCGTGAGAACCTGGTCGAGCATCGGGGTAGGTGCGAAGTAGGTATGCGTAACTTGTAAAGAGTATCCGTACGGAGTTGGGTTGTGCCCATTTGGTATCCGTAGTGGCATGGTCCGAAGAATTCGAGCTTTGGACGTAATAATGAAGCGGTGGGCTTTGAGATGGATGATGCAGATTTCTTTGGATCACGTTTGCGAGTCGTGTGGAGCTCTGAGCCAGAAAAAGTTTGCACAGGGTTCGGAGAGTATTGTGGCATCGGGATTGACTCCGATCACCGACCTGAAGAGGCGCCAGTTGACAGTATGTGGAGACGTTGATTTGCGCCGGGGGCTGACCGGCGCAGTAGTGCTTAAAAACAAGGACCCCGTGATGAACGACCGTGCTCGTAATAGGGCCCGTGAACCGACAAAGTCGGACTCATCAAGGTGCCCTTATCTGACGGGCTATGTGATGCCATGGTTCGAGCCGGGCAGGCAACTGTATCCGTCCAGATAGGCATGATGTACCCGTATGGAGGGAGGCGCAGACACCCGATATCCATGGACTACCTTATGGGCGGATGTCTCGGTCTGATGTGATGATGTGATGGCAGGTCGAACCCGTCAGGGTTGGTTTGTGTTTGACATGTAGTTGATGTCTCCGTAGTCGGTGAGCATATCGGAGGGTCACTTTGATACTTCAATATGGCAAACGTACGTACGACGTACGACTACCTACGCCTTGCGTAGCATGGAGGGACGATAAGAAGCCCCAAAAGGTTGTAAGTATTGTACCCATGTACTCCATCGTGACCGCCCCTGATGTCCTTGACGCCTTGGAGACAATGGCGGCATTACATGGGCTTGGTTGCATAGGTTTGGCATGAGGCGTGACTGACTGCGGCGCAGGTGCTTGATTTAGGCTGAGAAGGGTAATAAAGTTGCCAAAGATAAGGAAAATTTTTCTGAAGCAGCAGCAGCAGCATTGCGCAAGAGAAAAAAGACTGGGGACAGATGGTGAGAGGTCTAACTGTCTGAGGAGAAAAAAAACTTGGAGGTGTTTCTCAGTAGGTAACAGCAACTGTGTAAGCGAAACTCCGAGCCAACCGCTGGCATCCTCTTACATAATAAAGCCAACCCTACTGTGCTAGGACTCGCGGGAGAGAAAATTACTGCAAATGGGGCACTGGGGAGGCCCTAGTAATATTCTTTCTCAAGTCTTCCTTCCACTATCTACCTACCTTACGGATACTTCGTACGTCTGGCAAGGTAGCATGGTACGGTTGGTGCCACTGTATGTCCGCCATTGCACCTTCCAAGTTTCTTTGCCGCTCATGAGACATGGACACAAAGACTTGAAAGTTGAGGGTTGAGACGGAAAGACAGAGGGCAGCCAGTGCCCGCCGTAGCCCCGTTCCAAGACCCGTCCAGAGCGGCCCCTCTTTTGGAGAATGGCTCCAATACGGCTCCAATACGGCTCCAGAAGTCCCCGTCTCGTTGATGCATCGCCCGATTCAGTGACCAAGTCATCGATCCTGGCCTGCTACTGGTTGCGCTGCACCAGACGTGGTTCCGGAACGAAGCAATACACCCTGGAAAGTACAGACAACGGCGCAGCTTCTGGAAGTTGTTGGGTGAAGGAGGGACTGCGGATTGGCTTGAAAGAAAGAATCCAAGGAAAAGAGACACGAGTTTTCGTAGGTGGTGCTAGATGGAATGGGAAGGTAATGCGGTACACGTGCTCCCGCCTCGACACCGTACCGGCTGAGGTAGCCGCGTATCCTTTCTCTTGTATCCATACTACCTACCTACGGAGTGCCTGGGGGTGTCTTGCATCCCACTTAACTTCCCACCTCGCAGCTTTCCGCTTTACACTTACCCTCTCATTACTCGATAGCCGTGGTAATGCTTTCCCGGATCTTCATCATCAGTGGTGCAGAGTAGAGGTCTCTTATTAAGGTACTCGGTATCCGTACTTACTCGAACCACAACCCCATCTCACTCCCAGTGTTTCCATCTCATCTCATCCCATCTGTCTTGGGTTGCGTTCTTACAGTTCCGCGAGTGCCCCCCCTCCCCTCCAGCACGCCTGAGATCCGGGCGGGCTTCCGGCCCCATGGATGATGGCTTGATGGCTGGGTGTGCGTGTGTGGTGTTTCCGCTCGATGGGGCCCCGTTGTTTGCGCTTGCATCAAGGTTCGAATGAGAAAACGCAACGTGCTCAACCTCGTGGCCGCCGGCGAAGATTCAATTATTAACAGAAAAGGGCCAACCGCAAGGTCCTGTCGCGCCAGGCCCTGGCCACCGATTTTCACTCCAGTAAAAATACAAATTCTTTATCCGTATTGGAATTTACGTTTGACTTTGACTGTCCCGTTTGTGTTTATTCTGCTGCGCTTGCCGAGTACCTGACTCTACATTGAGAAACTCGCGGTTGCCGTCATTTGTCTAGCTCTTTGCATCGCCTAAGAAAGATATCATACTCTTCCTTACCTACAGCATTAGGTTGTTCCCGCCACACACCTTCTCTCTCTCTCTCACACACCCGCATACCTATCTACCTCAAGGTATCCATCCATACACACACTTGTTCCCCTCCCCATCCGCTTCGAGACTTATCAATCTACCGAGTCCACGGTTACACCTCTTCTTCACCCTCTTTCCTCACAACATCCTCTCATCCCACTGGCTGCTCTCCTCTGGTCGAACTGCATGCACTCTGCCCTCGGCCTGCCTTCCTGTTCGCTCGTCATCAGTCAGACGGCACAGTACCAGCACCAGCACCACCAGCACGGCCCAGAACCATCGCGGCATACCTTGTCCGTTTCCAGTTGGTCAAATCACCACACGGACTGACTAGGACCGGTATCAAAAGCTTGGAAACTCCCCATCTGAGGTCATCTGGTCTTCATCTCCTTCTAAGCTTTATTCTCAAAGCGTTGGATCGTTGGCCTGGCTCTCTCTTTCATACTCCAAAACGCCCCGACTTTACCTACCCTTTACACATACGGATACAGCCTGGACTTTCTGCTCCGGTCGTCTCAGTATCTTAAGGTTCGACTTCACATAAGGCAACCCCATCTTCTTTCTACCCGAACCACTCT